ATTTTAAACTATTACAAATAAAAAAAATTGATTCTTTAAATATACATTTTAAAATTTTTTTAATTTAATTTTATTTGGAAATTGTAATTCGTGTCGGTTTATCATAGTGGCGAAAATCCATTTTTATGATATAGTTTAAATTGATATATTAACGATACTATACATTTTTGAAATGGATAGGACTCTTTTTAATGTTGTTTATTTTGCAGTACTATAAATGAATGAAAATAAAAAAGTAAGATCAATTTTTTTTTAATTATTGAGAAAAGAGCTCAAATTCTATAAAAAAAAAAAAAAAATTTTTCAACCGAATCTTTGAATTCCTACTCTTTTATTTTATTTTTTAAAATTATTTCGACCAATTAAGAAATAATACAAATTTTGTTAAAAATAAAAAACATTTTCCTAAAGGATTGATGAGCTATTTTTAAATTTCTAAATTTAGAGATTTTACAGTATTCAATTTATGCATTTTATAAATATTAAATGTATAATTACTAATTAGTTAAATACAAAAATTAAGGAGTTTTATAATTTTTATTGAATTTCTTTTTTTATACAATTCATATTATAGCAAATTTAGTTAAAATGAATATATATCATTGTTCAACATCCAAGTTGTACGATAGATGTTTATTCCAAATTCCGAATTAAATTTTTTTAAAGTACATCACCTGAAAAGAAATATACTCGTATATTTGTCTCTGAAATAGGTCCGTGTAATCAATGAGAAATAAGCATAATATCGTACATAATATAAACAGGGCTCATATCCTTTGCATAAAGTTGTATAATTATAAATTTAATGCATGTTTTATACTTCTTTTTTTTTTGTAATCATATAAATATTCAATATAAAGTAAGGTATTCTTTTAAATGCAACTTTTATTAATAATTTCTTTGTTATTGTCTTATACTTCCATAAATTGACTATCTATCTTCCATAAATATTAAATTCAAACTTTATACAGTATAGTACTCAAAAAAATTTTCTTTGCATTTTTTTAATAAAAAAAATTTTAGTCAAGAATACTCCCAAGAAAAAAAATTTTTTTTGTTGCTTGCATGAATTTGATAGTAAAGTTATACAAAAAAAAAATCAAAATAATTCCTGGGCTATTATAGTTTCATAATATTCATTAATCAATACACTTCTCATTCCTTACAAAAATAAAAAAAGTATCATGTCCGTATTATCAGATTACATCATAATTGACATTGTTTATTATAAAAAACTGAACACAATCAATAACAAATAGATTATAATATAAATATTATATAGCACAAGTGTCAATTAAAGTGTGATGTAAACTTCACTGCATTAATCAAAAACGATACATTGTTGATTTATAAATTTATAAACACGAATTTAGAATTCCACAAAATGACATGACGTCATATACTGTAATATAACCATATAGTCATTATGTATATTTATGAGCCATAGTTAGCCATAGTTGATTAGATGACTCATATTTAATTTTGACTTAATTATGATAGGTTTATATAAATCATATATATACCTCTAATATATCGATGAAACTCCCCCTAAAGTTTTTTTATTACAACTTATTCATTTTATAATACTTTCTTTTTTGAACTAATGTTTCACATTATTCATAAATTAAGTAAGTATTAAGTTCTACTGGCTTAAGGTGTATGATGAGTTGGTATGAAAGCATGGTGCGTCCTATAAAAAATTTTTCTCATTTATCGGAGTTGTTTCCAGAAATTTTTTATAAGTGCGTATAATATGCACATGATGAGTAAATTTTCTAATGAAAATTCTGAACAGGGTAGGTGTGTATGTTTTGTGTGTATGTTAGTGTGGGTATAGGTGTAGGTGTGCTATCCATCCAGCAAATTTTTAATTTGTACTCGTAATGCCAGCCAAAAATCGCAAATTGATCGGCTGTCACGTGAATTCCTGTGTATGAAAATCACTGCACCGTTATTTATTTTTTTGTGAAGAATGGACTTGATTATTTAATATAAAATATAATTATACTAATCGATAGCACTAATTAATAAATTTGTTTTTTTTTCTATAAATGGTTAATACCGAAACGTTTTCTTAGATGAAAATTTTTTCTAAGGTTCTTCAAAAAACTATTCACAAAATTATAGTTGAAAATTTTGAAAATTTAAAATTAAAATTCAATCTATCATATTTACTAACCCTCAAGACTAAAAATTCCTTCTTAATTTAGTAACATAATCATATCTGTTGTAGCCCAAACGTAACCATGTTCCAAATCCGACTTGGGACAATCCTATGTCCGAAATTTAACCATATCCCAAACTAAGCTAGTAAATTTTAACACAATTTAAGACTGGGTTAGTTTGGGACATGGTCAAGTTTCGGATATAAGATTTTCCCAAGTTTGATTTGGGACATGGTAGAGTTTGGCTACAACATTACCAACTTCTTCGATTAATTTTATGAATGACATGATCTTCAAAAATGATAAAAAAGGTTTACATTAAAAAAATGTTAAAATTTTCCACAGTAACTTTAGACTCAATATATAATTCACAAATAATTCCAGGCATCTATCAAACTAAGATTTGGAATTTTTGGTCTTTTTATTTCCATATAAACAACATTTTTTTGTAAAATTTAATTCATTCATAACTGTATCATCCTCATAACTTATACTTTCAAAATCATAATTAAATTAATCTTCAGTTTTACAATTTGGTACTTTTTGAGCTTGATGAATGACTAATTCTATGTCATCTTGCCCAAATTTTGATTTTTTCAGGATGAAAACATTTTTCTCATTAGCATCATATTCTTTACGTAAAGACACGACGTGACCAATCGCTAGAGGATTGGATCAAATAGATTTCCATGACACATCTTGTGCATGTACTTTCTGAACGTGATACTAAAAAAATCAAAGAAATTGCCAAAAGTAGTGCTCCTACCGGGTCAAGTCAGGTCAGGTTTTGAGAATATATTCGACCTGATCTGAAGTGAAAAAGGAGGGACTCGTATATGTTTAGATTACACAATTTTATAACCCGAAATCGACTTGATCCGAGTATAGTCTAACCCATATAAACCCGGGTTCAAACTCGAATTTTTGGTTAATCAATAATAAGAAAAATTGATCTACAAGACAATGACAAGTAGGTCGCACAACTTTTATCTATCGGTGCAATACGAATTTAAAGTTATTATTCAATTACATCTTCATTTAAACTTAAAAGAATTTACATTATATATAATTAACTATTTAATTAAGATCAGAATTAAAATTCAAAATTTTATTAAATGTATAATAGAAACTCAATAATACTTTATTTCTGCCAGAATTTCAAGCACATGCATGCTCTAATTGTTTCGGCTTTAAGACTACATCTCTTGGTAGCCAATAAATCAGCTCTACCTGAAAACACACTCTCTACTGAAACACTTGTTGCTTTATTGATTATTAAAAAATTTATTAGCTAATACTTAATAATCATAACATTATACTGTACATAATAAACTTTTTACCTGTAATGGCGAGATAATCTCTAGCCATTTTGGCTAAGTGTGGATACACTGTCTCATACTCTCATTTTCCTAGCGAAATTATATATGTTAATTGAAATGCTAATAAATTTAAATTGTATAGTTTAATAATGATTATAATTACATACCTTCCACCATAGCAAAATATCCTGTTGTGGCTCAGCTCGGGAGGCTTTTAAATACAAATCCACTTCATTTTGCTGAATTTTCTGCTGTTTTCCAAAAATATGATTTAAAAAACCATTATTATCAACATTAGCATTACCACCTTCTAAATGTTCAGATGGTCCATATTTAGTACTATAAATATCCAGAACTGTTTCCTTGGCAAAACGAATAAAATTTTGTTTCCATTAGTGATCCTCATAATAACCTAACTTTAGTCATGGGTCAAGCACTATAAAATTGAATTATTTGATATTATATTACCATTGATTTAATGACAAATAAATTAATTTTCAGTTAATACTTAACTTACTGGTAGCAACTGTATACATATTTGTGTCATCTGTTTTTGCATAATATCTTTCTAATTTTTTTATATCTGCTTTAGTAGCAATTACTATATCACTAGAACTATCATGACTTTCACAATAATCTTCAAGTTCATCAATTAGATAATTGTATAATGGCACAACTGAAGAAAGCATTGGATATTTTGCAGGTGACATTACATTGGTAGTATGTATGTAATTATTACAATATAACATAAAAAATTGAAATTTTGATAAATTAAACTTTACTTAAAATTAAAATGCTGGGAATAATTTGCCTGTCCACCTAAACTATGTCGGCTAAAATAGTCTATATGAGTAGTTTATTTAAATATTCTTCAAATCAAATCAATTTTACTAAAAGCTAAGTCATAAACCTTTTTACCTTAGTCACCACTTGGTGAGTTTTAGAATTCTCACTTTATTTTTAACGTTCTAGTTTCATATTAGGAGATTTAACTACGGAGATGAATATACTAATTCACATATTGCTATTAACAGTTTTAGAAATGATCAACATAAAATCACATGAACGTGACAATATACTGCGTATTATTAAAAAATGAAATAATGTACATACAATAGAAAATGAACTTATGATTTATATTTCAATATTTTAATTATTTTTAATTCATTTTTTTCTAATTATTCTTGATAAAATCACATTTTTTTACAATAATAATATTAAAAATTTTCAATTAAAATAAAACTCCAAAAAAAAAAAAAAGATAAATGAATTGCCCGGTTAGTTCAGTTGGTTAGAACGCCACAACATAAATTTAAACAGTTTTAAATCGTGGAAACTCGGGTTCAATTCCTGCACTGGGCTTTCTTTTGCAAGTGTATACATATATATTTTTTTTTAAAAAAAAAATGCTGCGGTTAATCACTCCCCAGTGTCGCCGCAGAAAATGGCATAGCGAATTAACGCAGCAATTTTTTTTTTTTTTAAATTTAAAATATATATATACTTTCAAAAAAAAAGCCCAGTGCAGGAATTGAACCCGCGTTTCCACGATTTAAAACTGTTTAAATTTAATTAAGTGTGTTGTGGCGTTCTAACCAACTGAACTAACCGGGCAATTCATTATTTAATTGTTTATTAATTATTATAACTAAAATTTGTGATGAGTCAAAATCCGTAATACTTAATAGTTTAATTAAAAAATAGAAATTATGGGTTTATGAATATTGCGCATGATGCCACTGACGTGTTTAATATTTACTGTTGATTATTTCCTTCTTAATTTTAAAATTTGAGAAACCTAAAATTAAAAAGTTTGTTAATTATTAATTTTTTTACAAAATTAAATAATTTCTCTATAACATACCAAATTAATAGAATGGTTTTTTATTTCGATTGAAGGTTTTATCCAATTATTAGATTCGCATTTGCATATTTGAAATGGAATTGTATATTCAATCCAGCCTAATCCCTCAAGATTTGAAACTTCTTTATAATTTAGTATATGTTTTTCGACCTGATTCTATTACATATGATTAAACAAATAAATTTAATATATGAATAAATAAATAATTTTAAACTTACAGAATGTTCTTTTGCAACAATAAATTTCACAAAACAGTCTTTGGATAATATTTTTTTGACATTTATTTTCCAAGTTATGTAGATATTTGATATTGAACTTATATTTTTCCAGAGCTTTGGTAGACTAATAGGAAGTATCTCATTTTTAAAAAATAACATGTGTCCTGACAAACTTTATAAGTGTTTTAAACATAACTAATTTAAATTAACCGTTAAATTTACAATTTTTATAAAAAAACTTACCTATTCGAATCACTTATTAATAAGTGATTAAATGTATCATCCAAATTTATGAGATTTGAAATCAAATAAACTTTCATTTCTGTGTAAAATAATACATTATTAATTACTCAATATAAGTAAATAGTACATTTAAATATCCTCTTACCATAATACATAAAACTATTAAATTTATTAATAATTCCAAGATCAGTTAATTTACTAATATCTATTTTATGATTATAATTACATAAGTATAACCAAAAATCTGAGTACTCTCTTAATAAATTAATAAATAAAGTATCCTCATTTAAATTAAATAATATATATTTTACACTTCATAAAAAGCATTAGTCTATCATCATATATATTGATTTTTCCTAACGCTTCATAATTATTTTCTAGTAAGCCTTTTAGATAATATAATAATATTCTTGCTGAATTATTATTAGAATCTAATTTCATACATTTTTCAAAAGCAGTTACAGCATTACTAACATTTTCCATCATAATATATGTTAATCCTTTATAATAAAATGCTATACTATTTAAATTTTAAAGTATCTAGTTGTATAACTTTTTTAAGATCTAATAAGGTTTTATTATATTCTTGAAGAATATAATGAGTAATAGCTCATTTAATCAATATGTGAATATTTTTGGGATCTATATTAATTGCATTTGTAAAATATATTATTGATTCATTATATCTTCCAGGATTTCTCCATAATAACACAAAACTAATGAACCATTCTGATTAATATTTAACAATTTCTTCAGGTTGTGGAGGATTTTTATTAATTTTATATTTTTTTTTGTACTTTAACACAATTTTTTGTATTTAAATCCGTTTGTTTTTTAATGATTACAGATCAATTTTTTCAATAATTTTGAAAATCACAATAAACAGATACTGTATTCACACTCGTAGACTAACAAAGGACTCTATATATGAAATTTATTTACTACAATTCGAAACTGATCCAGATTGCATCGCCCGACTCCTCATGATCTAAGCCACCTTGCAGCAAAATTTGCTAGTGAAGTTGCGACCATGAAGTATGTCGCTCATCAAAGTGCTGGGAGTATACGATTGGGACTGCACTGTGCATAATCCCATAAAAATCCCTTACATTCTGATGGAATGGATACCTAGACAACACTTATATCAAGTTTGGGATAAGTTAATGGTTGAAGAAAGGAAGTGTATTTTAAGCCAAATTGTCGACGCATTGCTCGAGTTATGGACAAAATGTCAGTTTGAAGAGATCAGAAAATATTACATGGACTGTGTGAGTACAGCAACAACTTTTTACTTAGTATTATGCAAGGCACATAATTAATATTTATTGAATATCTTATATAATAATATTATAGAAGAGTAGATTATGTTAACTTTTCGAATTGGTTTTACATTGAGGGAAGAAATGCCATTCCTAGTTTTACTGGTCCTTTTGAAGCTTGCAGGAATTGTTTGACGCCTTGATTCAAAAGAAAAAAAATTCTTCAAGATTCATGGTTCCTAATATGGCGATCATAAAATGAATCTTTGAATCTTGCAAATGTATGAATCTTGACCCATCACATGCCTTAATCTTGACCTCTCATGATCGATAACATGTACTGTATATTGAGAGTCAAGATTAAAGTCAAGATTTATACATTTTGCATATGTGACATAATCATGATATAAAGATCTTCATGTGAATTGATACCATAAAATTTAAAAAGGCTTTAAGTTCCTTTTTTTTTTAAAACTGGCATAATTTTCTAAATTTTTTTTTTCATATTGGCAAAATATGAATGACTACTTGCATTTTAAAAGTGGACTCTAAATGAATTCGCAAATTAGATTGCTGTTAATCACTCTGATGACAAGAAGAAAATAATCAACTACATGAAGAAAAGTCTTAGGAATTACAGCAATAATATTTACATTAACGTAAATGTAAGGCAGAAGGCAGATGACTTGCTTAATGGTATAAAGCTAAGGTGAGAATATAGATGTGTGCTACCATATCACATCTAAGGAGCTACTTATCAGCCAGATGTTGAACCACTTGTTTACCACAGATTCCTACAATTTGATTCACTTTACTTGTGTTTTATTTGATAAGATAATACATTCTATTATTCTTTATATTTATCAATGAAAGGAATGAAAAGCTGACAAGATAAAGACTGGTTATTTTCAGATATTAAAGGATAAGAAGAAGATAGCTGATTTAAAGTTGCCTTTCTAAACTAATGAGTTTAAAATTATTCTAAATTGAAATTATTCTAAAATAGTTTGAAACTTTCTAAACTAAAAAATAAAAGTTGATTTTTATTTTCAAATCATTTAAATTAATTTTAGAGTTTTAAATTAGTTTTAAATCAGATTTAAACTTTCAAATTAGGTTTAAATTAGTTTTGAACTAACTTCAATTAGTTTTAAAGTTTGAATTAGTTTAGAATTAGTTTAGAAGTTCAAAACTAGTTTAGAAAATAGAGTTTAGTTTAGAAGTTTAAAATTAGTTTAGATTACAAAGTGAACAAGAAGTGTGATTGAATGTTCGATGGTAATTTTTTTTTCACCACTTCTATATAAAATATTAAGGCTGTGCTAATAATCAATGATCTTGCAGGTCTGATAGTTGCAAAATCACATAAATGCAGCAGTAAGAATTCATCAACAAATTGCTAGTTCAAAAAGTTTTGACAAAAAATATAGTGGAAGGAGATTGGGTTGGCCTGGAATGGCCATGTACACCAGAGAATCAGGTAGTCATTTTTTTTCATCATAGTTTAATGTATGCTCGCCTAAAAATCATTTGGATGAAATGATAATTAATATTAATTAATAATTAATGGATCTAAATTAGATCCAAAACTTGTTGCAATCATATTACTTTCTAGTATTATAAAACATTTGCTCAAACAGTAGGAAACTTACCAGTTATATGTAATAATAACCTTTGAAAGATTTACGATCATTAATGAAACAATTTTGACAATGTTTGTTACAAAAGCCATGATAACTTCCCTTTACCATCATTTTGGAACCAAAAATGATACTCTCTTCTCTTTAATGAAGCAGACTTAGAAGAAATTGACATATCTCTGATTAATTTCCCTACTGCTTCTAATGTGATTAAAGCACCCCCTCATGACCCTGTTTATACAAATACATTTGTTGTTCCTCACAATTTTTCATTTACTTCCATTGAGACTCTCCATCACCCAGTTCTACATCTACCCCAATTAATGTTAACATTTCTTCACATCATAATGATAAGACTCCCCCAAGGTCATTTACGTGTTTTTTACATAACTTGAAAAAAAATCAGGTAGACTTTATCACTCTAAGGTGTTAGCCTTCCCTTTTAATGATACGAATTGTCTTGATCTTCACTTTGAATTAATAGAACTTTTGACAGGCTTTCAAGATGAATTCCACACCATCCATTTCAACTCACCTGTAACCTGCCTGTCAAAAATTTTTTCCCCCAATGTCAACTCAGGATCAAAGATACCAATGATAGTCTTTTGTTTAGTCCTCTTTTGTTGAAGACTCGTAGAAAAGCTTTTCGCAAAAGTCTTTTCAAGTTTAATGACAAAATTGCCTATCAGAATGATAGCACTGTTAACCCAAAACCTTTCTTAGGTCATCCTTTATAAAGCATCATCGTGATGATGACTTTCTTTTAACCTTTAGGTCAAATAAACTTGTACGTTCATTTGAATAACTCATTTCATAGTTCTATTCTTTTATATTTTTACAAACAATTAAAATAGGGTGGATCATTCCTCACCTGACAGCGTTTACGTGAGGTGATAAATTTTTTTTAGTTTATTGAATTTTTTATTTTTATTTTTAAAGTAGTACAGCAAAGTAAAAGGAAAAATACATTGAAATGTAAAAAAAAAATTACACCACTAGATATATGCCACTCTATTACTACATCTAGATCTGACTAAATCAGTGCCTGACTGCTGACTGTCAAGGGAACCAAGGAAGCATTAGCTACTGTACTAAAGGGGAAAGTGAGAAAAATCTAAAGTATTAACATGAAAATATAATGAAAAATAAGAAAATTGATCTAAATGATCTAAATATAAATCAGAATAAAATTATAAAAATCACGATGGAGTAACCAATTGCCTGAGTGTAGGAAGTTGCTAGAGACTCATAAGAGCTAAGCGTTGAAATTGATCATTGAAGTGGATGAGATGATTCTGAGAGGTAAATGGGAGGAATCACGTGAGTGATCATCATTATCATGAAAAGCGTTATGCGTTAAGCAATACAATTTCTTTGAAGATTTTGTTAT